ATGACATGGCAATATTTTGCTATCCAAGCAGCCAAGCGGGGTGTGTCCTCAACGGCAGTTAAGTCAGGCGAGCAATCCCAAACGGCAGTTAAGTTGGGGTAAAAAGAAGGGCTTAATTGCTTTGATCCCAGAGTTTAAGGGCTTAATTGCATCAATTAAAGTCTAGGGGCTTAATAGGGATTCTGGGGTTAGTTCAGAGGCTTAACTTATGGTTTTGCCTTTTAAAACTTTGTGGCTGAAAATGATGATGTTACATTTATACTAAAGATTTATTTATCCTATATTCTAGTGATTTTTAGTTAGTAATTGTTATTAAAAAAATGAAATTTTAAATAAAAAATAACTTTTAATTTTAATTTCTTATTTTAAACCCTCAGCACATATGATAAATAAACTTATATAATAATAATAATAATAATAATAATATATCTCAAACTGTTAAATTTAAAGATTAACTATGTTTTTGATATATGTAAAGCTTACAAATCATTTATGTGATATGTATGTATAAGTGAATTTTGAAAACTGATGTAAGAGTTAAAATAATATGTTATTATATTCCTCTGAAAAAATAAAGTGGTACAAGATCAAAGAGGAGAGAACTGGTTGCCCATCCCTCTACCCCTGGGTTGACACAACTCTCCCATTATGAACAAACACATGTTACACATCAACACTCCACACTCTTCTACTCTTATCCCAATGCTATTGCCCTCTAATCTTTTTTTAATTGTAAATACTATTGTTTCTTTTAAAAAACTCCTTTTGTTTAAATCCCTGAGAGATAAACATGCTCCATCCATTAAGGAAACTTTGTCCCTACTTAGATTTTGTCGCAAAAAGTTGTCCCTAAGTGTTACTAGGGTTTACCATATATTTATTTGTGATTAATAGTAACAAGGTCACTTATCAGATATTTCAATTAGTATTCTTTTTTTCTTTTTTCTTTTTTCTTTTTTTTGTTATCAGCAAATGAAAATGAATTTATGTTGCTACGGAGTAGTTTCAATTAGTATTCTTATTCCCTCTTCCTAATTAAGCTAGTTTGTTTCATTATAAAACTGCAATTATTTTGGTTGGTGGGGGTAAGATTTTATAGAATCGCAAGCACTTGTCCCTTTTATTATATATCAAATGATAACCTAACCCCATTAGTATAGCTTAGCCCTAAAACAAAATTTTTTTTGAAAGAGATTAAGTAACGGAAAATAGATTTTCAATCTAGACTGGCAAAAGCTTGAAAATTAATATAATGTCATAATGAGATAATAATTATTAAAATATTATTTTAGTCCTTTTTTTTAATATTGAGGTGGAAAAAACGAAAAAAATATTATTAATGAATTTTTTTAACATCATTATTAGTGAAATGTTGATAATTATTGGACAAAAAATACTTGTAATTAAGAAGGTATAATGGTAATTTTCATTTAAAATGACATTTTTTTGTTAGTCTAGATTAAATTTTTGCAATTTAATTACATAATTAATTAAAAAAGTTAGGTAAAATAAAGACATATTGAGATGTTTTGAAAGTCACAAATTTAAATATTCTTACACAAACGTGTAAATATATAGAAAATATACGAGCAACAAACAACCTAACAAGTAGTACCTCTAAGTAGGTGGGTTCATTAGGTTAAAAGTTCGATATTTCAATTTAGAAATTTTATAAAGATTTAAATTTTAAGTAAGATTGAGAAAACTTTTAAAAATAAATAAGATAATTTTTTCTTATATAACTCATTAGTTGTTAAAAAGAAAATAGCAAGT